GTAAACAAGGTTTGAGAAAATAAATACAACACTGTTTCTGAAATATGTAAATGAAACAGGACAAAAGGATAGAGGGAGACGCAAGGTCCTGCGGACGCCTGCAGGACTACCTTGGATCTCCGTATGGACTTAAGGCAGCAACCCCAAAGCTAAGGTCCAAAAGCTGTTGCGCCGGGATCTGCACACAATGCAGAGTGTAGTATCAGCACAACCGACCCCATGTGTTGGTATGTGCCTAGCCTAACCTTGGCGAAGTAGTGATGAGGCTAGGACCAGACTACCAAATAAACCTGTGCAGTTAAATCATATACAATGGAAAATAAAAGTAGAAATGTATAGTTAGGAATGGGAGGGGGAAACATGCTGCGGGGAAACATCAATTAAAAATTGAAAGACAGCAAGTAAATATGAGGAACACCATATCTCAATTATCAACAAGAATCAGAAATCAAACAAGTGCACGACATCACCCTTCGTGCTTTTACTCTCGTCATCACCATAAAATTAATATAATCGACACGGAATTGTACATCGTACGGCACGGCACCACCCTTCGTGTTTTTACACTCTTCCTCACAAATCATACACGGCATCACCCTTCGTGCTTTAATACTCTCTCACCAAAACAATGCATGGCATTACCCTTCGTGCTTTAACACTCTTCCTCACCCAAACAAGAATCACAAGCAATAGGGGCAAGGAAATAAATGAAATCACAATAAAATCCCGGGAAGGGAACAATAGTACAACAATCAAATTCCGGCAAGGGAACAATATCAAAAATATCAACATCCTGGCAAGGGAGATAGCATTGAAAGCAACAACTTCCCGGCAAGGGAGACAATATAATAATCCTCTTCTCTTTTTCACACTTACTTCACAACTCACTTCACAACTTGAGCCAACACTCTATAGGGTTCAATTGCCAATTATACTTCCACAATTCATTATAAAACTTGAGCCAACGTTCTTCAATACTCATGTACCACTATTACTTCCACTAACTTTACTCAACAATAGAAATCATCACAAAAGGCATGAACAATACAAACGGCGTCATAATAATCATAATATAAGACTCACGGGCATGCTTGACACCAACGTATAGATACTCATCACCATGCCTATACGTCGTACTCAACAAATAACACATAGCAAATAGGACACAACTCCTAATCCCTCAAGCTAAGGTTAGACCAAACACTTACCTCGATGCCACGAACACAATTCAAGTCTCAACTATCGTTTTACCTCTTGATTACAGCACCAATTCACTCGTATCTAGCCACAAGTTACTTAACTATATCAATAAATGCTAAATGAATCAATTCCAATGCATGAAAATAGGTTTTCTAAAGTTTTTCCCAAAAAGTCAAAAATCGCCCCCGGGCCGACATGGTCAAAACCTGAGGTTCGAACCAAAACCCGATTACCCATTCCCCCACGAATCCAAATATATGATTTGTTTTGAAATCGAACCTCAAATCGAGGTTCAAATCCCCAAAATTTGAAAAACCTAGGTTCTACCCAAAATACCCAATTTCCCCTATGAAAACCTTAGATTTAGAGTTGAAATCATGAGAAAAGATGTTAAAGATTAATAAAAACAAGTTAGAAATGACTTATAATCGATTTGGAAGAGTACTTGTCTTTGAAAAATCGCCCATGAGTGTTTTGGTTTTAAAAGGGTTTGAAAAATGAAAGATTTTCGGCTAAGTTATGAATTTGCAGGTCGCTTTGTGAACCCTTCAGAAGTCTGTTATTGTTGCATTTGCGACTAATGATCTTAATTGCGAAGTCGCTTTTGTGATGGGATTGTCTCATTTGCGACGAGGGGAATTTCTGGGCCTCTTCTCATTTGCAAAGAAGTGATCGCATTTGCGATCAGGCCTGCCTAGGCCTTCTCTCGCATTTGCGATCTCGCATTTGCGAGCCAGGCTTCGCAAATGCGAAAGCTGCAAACCTGCAATATACCAGCTAAAAACCTGCAACATCCTAAGTTAAACTTCACTCCGTGGTCTATCCAAAACTCACCCGAGCCCTTGGGTCTCCAAACCAAACATTTACACCAACCTAAAAACATCATACGGACTTGCTCGTGCAACCAAATCATAAAAATAACATGTAAAACTATGAATTAAACCTCAAAACTCATCATTTTCATCAAGAACACTTTAAAGTTCATAACACTTCGACCGTAGATCCAAATCACGTCAAATAAACTCCATTTTTCAGCAAATTTCACAGTTATCATTTAAATACTTTAACAAATTTGTATCGGGCTCCAGAACCAAAATACGGGCCCGATACAATGGTTTCAAGCATTAATTCTTTTTTTATTTCATAAATAACTTAGCAAAATAATTTCTTTCAAAAATTAATTTCTAAGGCTTGGGACCTTGGAATTCATTTACGGGCATACGCCCAAGTCCCATATTTTACTGCGGACCTCCCGGGATTGTCGGAACACAGATCCAGGTCCGTTTGCTTAAAATATTGACCAAAGTCAACCATAATCAAATTTTAACTCTAGAAATTTCTATTTCTCATATTTTCACATAAAAAACTTTCTGGATATAGGCCCGGACCACGCACACAAATCGAGGTAGGGTAAAAAGGAGGTTTTAAGGCCTCGAAAAGGTCATCACAGTGGCTCAGTCCTGTCTTTGTACAATTGTATTTCGATTAGAGGTCTGTAGACAGTTATGTATAGTTGGATAGTATGTGGCCTTGTCGGCTTTCAGTNATATATGCCTTTTGGGCAGGTTTCCTTCATGTATCTCGTAATTCAGCAGATGTTAATTAGGTTTATGGATTAGACGCATGCTTAGGGGTGTTTTTCAGGTAGGACTCGGGCACCCGTCGCGGCCCATCGGTTTGGGTCGTGACACTGAATGTTCGAAACCCCGAATTATGTGTTATGTGATTGGTATTGAGGTGATGCACATGCCAAGTGACGGGCGTGCGGGCGTGTACCGGGAGAATTGTGACATGGTTGATTCCATGACACTTTATATTATTCTATCTTGTTGATATTTGTGTTTTCATCATGTGATGAAGTAATTGAGTGGTCAATCACGCTAGATATCATGTTTAGGCTTTATGCCGGTAATGTTGGGACCCATAGTGGTCATTTCTTGCTGTCACCTCACTGATTTTATTGATATTTCATACTCAGTCATATCCATTCATTTCATATTATATCTCAGTCTCAGTTGTTATTTATTGATACATCATATCATTATTTCGGGCTAGCTTTCATGACATTGTGAGCCCGTGAGTGAGACTGGAGAGATTGATGACTGAGTGAGGCCGAGAGCCAGATTATGAGTGACAGTTATGGGATCGGGATGCACGCCACAACGGTTATACTGATTTGTGTTAGCGTTTGGGCTGTATGAGCCCCTCCATGTACACACCCCCAGTGAGTGTGGTTGATATTATTGAGGGATGGATCTTCCCTGACATGGATCTTGTCCGAAGTACTTGATACTTAGAGATGGATCTTCGATATAGGGCTGGATTGGCCTTCCTCGGTACTGGGTGACTGATGGTCAGTGATGCATACATTCTGGGATGAATCTTCCCTGGGCCATATACAACACCGGTGGTTGAGCATTTGAGAGTGTCAGCACATGAGGCTGACGGCATGGTGCATTGGCATGTAGAAATAGAAGAGTTATATTCTTCCCATTGTTCAGATCTAATCTATTTCGCTTTTTTGAGTTGTCTATTTAATTAGAAAGCATGCCTACGTTTATCCACTGTATTTCTATTGTTAAATGTGCCAGTTGAATTTGTCTCTACCTTTCAGTCCAAAGGTTGGACTTGTTACTTTCTGAGTTGGTTGTACTCACATTACTCCATGCACCTCGTGTGCAGATCCAGTCGCTTCTAGCCACGGCGGCTGCTGATTGAGGAGTCAGATCCCAGAGACTATCGAGGTAGCTGCATGGTGTTTGCAGGACTTGACTCTCCTTCTTTATCTCTATCTGTATTTCAGTTTTTATTCCCTAAAAATTGTAGTAGACTGTATTCTAGTGTAGATGCTCATGTACTCTGTGACATCCAGGTTTTGGGACAAATTGTATTGTATTTTGGATTATTTCTGTTTTCAAAAAGGCTTTTTTTTTCTTAAATATTAATTGCTCCCGCCTTTATGTTCAAATATTTTACTGTGTTGAGATATTGAGTTGTGGCTTGCCTAGTACCACGATAGGCATCATCACGGCGGTTAGATTTTGTGTCGTGACACTTATCTGAAAGATTAATTATTAGAGAAAAAATATATATTTATTTTATTAATTATGTCTTTAGCATGTTGTTCAGAACAAACAAAACAAATAATTTTCATTATTACTTCGAGTAATTGCTAAATAAGAAGATTCTTGGGCATCGGTTCGTGAAAGAATTCTATTAGCATTAGCGGTGGAGCTAGGATTTCAGCTTTATAGGTTCTGAATTTCGAATGATAACTTCAAAGTGTTAATTAGGGGTGTGCATTCGATTGATCGATTCGATTTTGACCCTTATCGATTATCGATTTGTACATATGTTTATCGTTATCATTTCAATAAGGTTTCAATTTTTTCGATTTTGATTTTTCGATTTTTAGGGCTTATTGATTCGATAATCGATTACACCAATAAGAAAATTTGTGGTAGTGGGGGTCTGCGTTCGCGCGGCCCCTACCCAATTCTGCACCTAAAGGTTTTTGCTCAATGGGTTTTATATTAACTAGCTTTCTATCAACCAGTAGATGTCATATTTTTGCAACAATTCAAACACTAGAAATACAAAACCTCATTGTAGGTTCAAGACGAACACATTCTATGCAACATTTCATCATAATCATGTTATGAACATCTATTTCTTCCCAAGCAGCAAGAAACTGAAACAAACCAAAGCTTAAATACTATTCAAATGAATCAAACGATAAAGTAGACAAAGTAGCAAAGCCACTTCTATTTGAGATGTAGACTTTCAACCATATGTAGCTTAAGTAAAGCTACATAAAGAGGCAACAACAACTCTCGATGCTAGTTTAACAAAGCAAACTATGTGCCTTATTTTTCAAGAGTAGCAAGACCAAGTTTCTAATGTGCTTGTTTAATGCAAAAGAAGTAATAGATTATATCTATGCTACAGATCCAAATTTTAGAACTTATCTACCATGAAGAGAAGAGATTACTTGTGCAAGACATTCTGTGATCAGTACAGTATTTCCAAAGCATAGTTCCAGAGGTAGTTGAGTCAACTCTTAAAATGCCTCATTCTCTCCAAATCTTATACCAAACCGGTAAGTTCTAATACATTTCCTCTAAGCAAAACAAAATACATCATTAATTTGAACTTCATTCCCTTGAGTTTTAAATATGAGCTTTAAACAAAACCTGGAAGAAATTAAGAAAAATATTAAGAACTTTGTAATACATCACATTCTTTTACAAGTATATTATTTAAAATGGAGAACTTACATAGCAGCTAAAAACTCTAGCAAACATCGTCGGTGGAAGCTTCTTTGCCAAGATTAGTAAAATCTAATAAGAATATATATTAACAAGTCAAGTAATTAATATATTATTTAACTATCTTAAGCAATACACTAAAATTAATTAAAATATACATACCTTCCCCAAGTGTCTCGAGAAAATCTAAATCTTCCTCAACATTTACAGGAAGTGATTTACTCCGAAGCCAATCTTGAAGGCACACTAGAGTTTCAATCAATTTAGGAGTTAATGAACTCCTAAATTGGTCAAGAATACGTCCTCCGGTACTAAATGCACTTTCAGATGCCACACTTGAAATAGGAATAGCAAGCACATCTCGAGCCATCTTAGCAAGAATAGGAAATCTAGGTGAGTTCACCTTCCACCAAGACAAGATATCAATGTCCGGTCTTTCATTTTCAGGATCTTCTGCAAGATACTTTTCCAATTCTGTTTTAGAATCTACACCTCTACTTGCAGCTTTATGTTTCCTAATTTCATCTAAAATTTCACCTAAACCAGGAGTTGAAGTTTCCATTGTGCTGAATGAAGAGCTTGGCAAAGAGGTAGAAACTTTACCACCAGTATCTTTGAAACCGACTTAGAGACATACTCATTAAAAAATGAACTCATATAAGTATGAACCTCTTTTTTAATAATTGTCCCTTCATCTCCAAACATCTTCTTAAGTACAAAACTAACAGTAGTAAACTTGTAGCGAGGATCCAAAACACAAGCAATGTAAATCATTTTGTTCAATTTTGTTGGCTCACCCCAATACTTCTCAAATTTTTTCCACATACTTGATACCATCTCACTCAAGAAAATGGGAATTCGATGTTACATAAAGTGATCCGGACACCTTCAAAGTGAGATTATAAAATATTTCAAGAAATTGTGCAATTCTCTTTATATCATCCCAATCAATTCTTGTAAGCAAACCTACAGGCTTTCCATCTGAAATAGCATCAAACATAAGATAACGTGACAAGCCGGTATCACGATCAGAATATTCTTTAATTGCACGCTCATATTCAATAGCCCTGCTCAACATCAAGTAGGTGGAATTCCACCTTGTAGGAACATCTAAGCATAAAGACTTCTTGACAATATTTTCACTTTCACAACATTCCTGAAACTTCCTCAACCTAGCAGGAGATTGTCTAATGTATCTGACTGCACATCTAACACGAGCAATAGAAATACCTGACTCTTTTAAACCATCTTTCACAATAAGATTTACAATATGAGTCATGCATCTCATATGAAGGTGTTGATCATTCATGGAATTGGTTCCCCAATCATCTCATTTGTCAGACAACTTCTCCACGGTCACATCATTTGAACTAGCATTGTCAACTGTAACAGTGAAAATCTTTTCCAAACCTCACTCACGCAAATAATCAATAATACACGTTACCATATCTTCACCTTTATGACTAGTAATTGGAGAAAAGTTAATAATTCTTTTATGCATAATCCATTCACTATCAATCCAATGGGCTGTGATGCACATATAGTTAATTTTTTGAATAGAAGTCCATGTAACAGTGGTAAGACTTACTCTTTGACTTGTGCCTTTAAGAAACTTCATTAATTTATTTATTTTCACATTAAAAAGAGCAAAACAATCACATGTAATAGTAGTACGGGAAGGAATATAAAAACAAGGTTGTGCCACTTTCATAAAGTTTCTAAAGCCTTCCTTCTCAACAAAACTAAATGGAAGTTCATCAACAACCACCGTACGACACAAAGCCATCCTACACTCTTCTTGATCAAATTTTCATGGAATAAGATCACCTTTATTACCCCCCGACACTGTTTGATATGGTAATAGTTTTTGACTTTTTTTAACTTTATAAGGATTCCTTGGACATTTACTGATATGACTATTCATTTGTATCGTACTTTTGCCTTTTGTCTCAAAATATTCTTGTCCACAAAATCTACATGCATATTTATTATTTCCTTTAGCATCAACTTTTTCTTCAAAAAAATCTCATGCCCGAGATCGTTTTTTCCTTTGTTTTGTAACTGTCGAGTGAGTAGTTGCAACAGTAGACTCAGAACCTCTACTTCATCAACCACTTGATCAATTTTATCATTTTCAGCCATATGAAGTGAATGAAGAATGTAACTTACAGACTTAAACGAGTTGAATGAAGCAAAGCAAGACGAAGTCAGCACTCCTCGCAATTGAATCTCGTCTTAGAGCTGTCAAGTGAGCGCAACTGCAAGTAAAAGTTTCAGGCTTTCAGCTTTGGTTTGTATCCACTTAGAAGAACATTAAGAATTAAAAAGGAATTATGCATCACTAGCAATTATTTATGATAACAAGTAAATTGAACAATAGCAGTTAAGCCTTATTATAATTCTCAAATTTGATCGAAACTAGTAGAAATTGAAGTCGAGACAATTTATATACTCCACTGTCAAGGTCAATGTTTCTGTCTCATAAATCTTACAATTAAGCTTATTCATTCATTGGTATCATTTCAAATCTCATTTTCTCAAACTAGTGTCAACCTTAAAATTAAAACCCACTTTAAATATCTCTGAATTAATATTTTTCTTTTTGAGAAGTAAATAAATATTTCTAAAATAATTGTAGTTGGAGACATTGGAGATTTCTTACAAGTACAAGAACAATACTGGCAAAGTAGAGTACTATATTCAATTGATGAATCATAAAACTAGTAATGACTAATATGAAGGTAATATAATCAATTAGGAGTAGCGTTAACTGACTAGAATAAATTATTCTTAACCAAAAACAAAAACTAATTTCTACATGGTACCTGCCAAGAGCTTTCTGGAAACGATGATAATCAACGGCGAGTCGGCGACAATGGGGATAGAACAGAGCTAGGTTTGTACTTTGTAAGCAGAAAGTGAAGACTGAAGAGTCACCTAGTTTTGGGTCTACGCACAATGAAGACTGAAGAGAAGCGGCGCTGAAGAAGGGAGGAAATAATAGGATTAGCCGGTTAGGGACTTAAGTGAAGGGAAAGGGTAGTATTATAGAATAATGGTATATTTGTCTTTTTAGTATATCTTATCGGTTTATTGATAAATCGATAACCGAAGAGGACAAAATCGAAATCGAAATCGATAACTCGATAAAGAAAATTTTGAAATCGAAATCGGTAAACCGATATCGTTAAACCGATAACAAATAATCGATTCGATTTATCGATAAACCAATTCGAATGCACACCTATAGTGTTAATAACTGAATTTTGCAATGTTTGAACAAAATTATTGTATTCGACTGAACCCGTAGCTCGACTTCTTCCTCCCTCCCTTATTAGCATGTAGTAAATTTCTCTTTTAGTGTAGACGTGAAGTTTGGAGCGGAAGCATGATGATGCATACACAAATGTATAATCACCTAAATGTTTGTTTATGCTTTAAATTGCAAATTGGAACAACTTTATATTTACCACCATCTCTCTCTTATAATAAAAAGATAGTAAATTAGATTAATTAACAAAGGTCATAGAAATGCTGACAGTTGTTTTGTGATCCTTGGTCAAAACGAAAGCAGAAAAGAACATTATATTGCAACTGTTTTGAAAATTGTTTGTATTAACATTCAACGTGGTGGGGAACACATTATGTTGGAGCTTCAATTGCGCCATGCATTCACTGTACAGTAATGCAACTAATAGATCCTCTTTATCAAGTCATATCTTGAGTTGATCTCTTTTGAGTCTGGCTATTAATTTCTTATTCTTTTTATTTCTCCTGCGGGAACTTAAAGAGTTTACGCTTTGACCTGATTAATTTTTTTGTAAGTTTAAGTTGTAAACATTGCCGTTGTAATGAATTTTGTATACTATCAAGTTACTCAAAAAATATTAATTTACATGTAAACTTCCTTATGGTTTTTGATTTCTAATCTTGAAAATAAGCAATCTTATCACGTACAACAGGTAAAATGATATGATAGTTTAAAAAATTCTTATACATGTAGCATATATAATTTACGCCTTTTCATATTAAGATGAGAGGTGTCAAATGGTGGGTGGGGTTATATTTGGATGAATTAAAATAAGCCGAATCAATAAACGGGTTAGGTCATAGCCTATCAACATTTGCTTATTCAAAGAAAGGCGGGTCACTTTATTTGCTACACAATATGTCATAATTCAAGTTGTTAAACTTATAATCACTTTTAATTTATTTGTTTGTTCTTTTATAATTATTTAATAATCAAATTAGATCAAGAAGTTTATTTATTTAGTATGATCATATCGAATAAATCAAACGGATAAACTCATTTTTCTTTGTTTTAAGTTCTTGAGTTAATTAGGGCAACATATGCATTCCAGTTAAGTTCGAAATTCGAAGTAAGAACGGTTTTCTTAAAAAATGCAAAAAAGTTACGAAAGATAAATATATGGGAGAAACTAAAAAATAGCCAGATTTACAAGTGGTCATTCAGAAATAGTCACAGTTTTAAAAGTAATTGAAATTTAGCCACTTTTCATGTGAAGATAAATCTGAACGAAAATACTGTTCAAAATCCGAAAAATACTCCAACATAATATACTGGAACTCCAGTATAATATACCGGACTTCCAGCATAATATACCGGAGTTCTAGTATAATATATCGGTCTATCATAATATGCTGTAAGTTCATACACAAGTGCTCCAATCTCCAATATATTATGCTGGAACTTGCCGCGTGTTGGAGTTCTAGCATAAAATGCTGGAAGTTCATACACAGGTGCACTGATCTCCAGTATATTAATGCTGGAACTTTTCGTGTTGCAGCAAAATAATAGCTATTTTTCAATGACTTTGCAAACGCCGGCTATTTTTGAATGACCAGTTCGAAAACTAGCTAGCCCGTGCTATTTTTACTAAATATATGCAAGTTGGGATCTTTTCAAACCAACTAATTGAGGATGATGGTGGTGGTGGTGGTGAGTGGTATGGTGATAGTTGATAATGGTAGGCAGTGGCGGTAGTTAATAACGAATATGGATGATAACATTTTAATGAAATTAAGTCTCAGTTATATATCTTAATCATACAAACCTATTCAGACCCATTAAGTGGTTGTGAAGTAAAAAAACTAAACCCGCTTAATGATTAAGATCTGAATAGTTAAGATTCAAACTTTTAAAACAAACACATTTAATGTCTAAGATCTAAATGATTAAGTGCAAACAAATGAGGCTTAAAATAGTACATGTAAACTACCCTCCAATTATAGTGGTAAAATGGTTAGAATCGCTTCATCTTTAATCAAATATCTCGAATTCGAGTTCTAGGAATGAAAAAAATTCTTGATCGAGAGCATTTTTCTTTTAATGAATCTTTTACAATGCGAATTCAAATTAGTCGAAGCCCTAATATGAATACATGATAAATTAAAAAAAGGACAAAAAAGACCATGGAGTTACACTAAAATAGTACTTGGAAACCATATCTTAAATAAATAAATCCTATTTCTTTCTTTTCTCCATTCTTACAATACTAAACCTAATTTACACAAAAAGAAAAATCTTAAATTACACATTACATTAATTGACAAGAACGTGGGAGGAGAGAGTGGGAAAAAAGAAAAAGAAAAAGAACCAAAAGAAAAGGAATAAAGCACAAACCAACCCCACAATATCCCTTTTCACCATAATACTCATAAATCACAAACTCTAACCTCAATATAATTTAGATCCAAGCTTTTGTTTTTGTTTTTTTCCCTTTTCCTGCCAAATATATGATCAATAATACAACAACATCAAAAATAATAAGTAATACTAAGTAAATTGGGGTCGGCAATATGATCAGTAATAAACTTTAAATTTTCCAAAAAAAACAACCCTCATATTCACATATCACCAGTGACATTGTCCATGTGCTACTATTCCAAACCCTACCTTAAATATTTATGTAGGTTGGAGACAGGTGGAATTTAAACATTTCTAATAATAATAATAATTAAAAAAAAAAACAAGAAATTCAAGAAACAGTAACACCACGTTCTTCATTATTATTGATCCAAAAAAACCTGGATGGTTTAGGCTGAAAATTCCTTCTCCTTCGAAGATCATGACTTGAAGGCTTGATAATTTGAAGAAGAAAAGCTTTTAAAGAATTAGCCTTTGCTATTTTTGCTAATTCCCAGTAATTACTTGATGTTGATAATCTTCTTGTTGATTGTCGACCATTTTTGTGCAGCTTACATCGAAAAGAACCAGGATGATTAGTTGGAGAACAATAGCAAATTCTCTTTTGTGGCTGAGATTTTGATGAAGCCATAGATTAGTTTCTGAAGAAAATAAAATTAATATATATGTTTTTGGGTTGCTTTTAGGGTATTAGAATGTGAAAATGAAGACGAAGAAAGGAGGTGGTTTGCTCTTGTTTTTCAAGCAAACCGGTTCAATGGTTTTAGGCTGGAGGCTTATATAGAATTTTTTTTGGTTTTGGTTAATGACATGGTTAGCCTTTGTTGTGTTCATTATTACAATTGTGGTTACTTAATTTTTAAGATTTTGATTACTTTTTCCGTTTTAATTTAAGTGGCATAGTTTGACTGAACATTTGATTAAGAAAGAAAAAAAATATTTTTAGAACTTGCAGTTAAAGGTACCATGCAATATTTTGTAATTGTTAAAGTAACAACAACAATAATAACAAATCAGTAAAATTTTACAAGTGGGATCCGAGGAAGGTAGTAGTGTGTACGCAAACTTTACCCCTATATTCGAGAAGATAGAGAGACTGTTTTTGATCCACCAGGAAAGAAGCAAAATTGGTAATTATCAAAGCATATCACTAAAAGTAAAATAAAAAGTTTAAACTACTTTTAGATGGAAAAAGTAATATTTTACAGACAAATTTCTTTATAATAGCCTCGTTTGTTCCGAGTATTTTTGGATGTTATAACGAAATACTGTTATAGAGAATATATATTATAACATAACATGAAAATTGGCTCCGAAAAAGCTTGAAAGGACACAACCTTGGCCAACCTTTCGAGTTCTACATTTATAGTGAAGTGTTGTTATATAAGAACGTTATTATAGAAAGATCTGACTATATTTTAAATCTACTAATGGTGAAATAATATCATCACATAAAATAAAACGCAGGAAGTAATATGATCATGACACTTGTTTTCTTAAAAAAATGAATGTTTTGGGAGGAGGGGACGTGGGGCGAGTATGGGATGTTTCTTAGAAAAGGCCTAAGGTTTGACAAGGTTTGTATCAAATGCTAAAAGAGGAAAACGAAAAGCAAAAGAAAAAGAAGAAAAAGAAAAAGACAAGTAGGAGAAGAAGAAGAAGGATAGTCATCGACATTGGCAATTTATTTATATTTCAATATTATTTGAAGTATAAATTTAATGCTCATAGAGCCATTGACTCAATATAGTGGATAGGAGCGGTTAGGCACATTTAGTATAAACTAACTAGCTTTAGTGTACGTGAGTTACACGTGTTTGTTGCGCCTCTAGATAAAAAATGTATAAAATTTGGAATAAGAATAAATTATGTGTACATAATGCAACATCATTTAAATTTAAGAAAATATATTACATTGATAAAATGGTCAAATGCAGAGCTATTGAAATCTATTTTTAGAGGGTAAAAAAAGCGAACGATATTTTGCTAAAGGCTTCAGACTTTTAATATAGTATAGATAGATAGATAGAAAAGTATAAATACGAAAAAGAATTAGGTTGCGTGCTTTACGCGTGTACACATATCAATAATTATAAATTTTTTAATATTATATAAACATTATAATGCAATCATCAATTATCTTTTTGAAAGTTTTTCTAAAATTTGATATTAGGTTGTGCATTTACATTTTTACACGTAAATTCTTCAGATTTAATGGTAGAATTTAAATGGGAATTACAACCTTTATATAAACTAAACATAAAATAATGTAAAATAAATCAAAAATAACTATAGACACCTAACGAAATCACCCTAACGAAAACA